TTTCTTTCTTTTCTTAGTTGTTATGGACTAGCATGTTCTTTACTGTCATGGTTCCCTGGCTGTGGCCTATGGACTGCTGACCTCCTGATGGCCCACAGATTCCCACCTTGCCTGTAGAACTTCCTCCATAAAACTCCAATGATCCAGGAAGGATCTTGAAGACAGCCCAAGGTCCCAAAAGTTTGGAACTGACTGGGGACTACATCAATCTTTGTCCAAAACAGATGAGGATGAGCAGAGCCCTTCTGATGCCATTGAGTGGAAGCAGTAGCACCGAGTGTGGTGCAAAGTATGAGTTATTCTGATGCCGACTTGATCACTTCTGCGGTTGTTCCCTTTGGTCTTTTGGGCATCTGGGCTTTCTTCATTCTCTGTGTTTCTTGTGGGCCACCATGAATATGTCAAAAGAAAAATGCTAGAAAGGTTTGCTGTTTTGATCTATTTCACTCTGCGTGCGAACAGTGTTTTAAAAAACTCAGGGCTGTAGGCTGCCTGAGGAGGCTTATATTTGAAGGGAAGTTTTTTTTCTTGCTCATTGTTTTCTATACTAAAATACTAATACTAGTATACTGCAACACTAATATTAATATACTACAATATTAATGTTAGTATTTTAGTGTTAGTGCTATTTACCCAAGTGACTCTGGTGGAGCAGGAGTCTGTGATAGTCCAAAACCAGAGCACAGAAGCCCACCAAGCACTGGTTTGGATGTGATTAATGGTTAGACTTCCCTGCTTCAACCTATGCTTTATTAAGTTTACTTTATACAGCATCGTATTCTCTAGGTTTTACTAGAGGTTCCCCTGGGCAGCTGCCGCTTGTAGCGCAACATCTTCCTGCAGTGGTAGAATTGCTCTCAGAGCTGCATACCTGCCTACTCGCACGGAGTTTTGGCTTCCATAAATTAGCCACAACTGGGCTGGCTGTCATCAGCTGGAAGGTAGCAGATGGTCCTGTATTTTCTGGATCATACCCAACAGATGAGGCAAACTTGGGTTTCGTATTCCAGGAAGCATCCAAGTGAAGATGCCTTTTCCTTTTGGCTTCAAATGAATTGTGCTGCTTTGTTAACTCTTGAGAAGTTGACAGTGAAAACACTTATTTTTACTGTGGGAAAGAGCTGCGTAGAGACTAGGATGCAGAAGGGGAAGTTATTCAGCCGCATGGATATGGGTTTCCTGGGCCTTGGCAGGAACTAGGCAATACAAAGTACCGGAGGAGAGGGAGAGATGTAAAAGGCAGGGTCCTTGCAATGGGTTCTGTTCGCTGCCCTTTCTTCGTGGCCTTCTCTGCTTAGACTTCTGGCTGCCAGAGGTTTTGGTATTCAACTTAATAGAAGGCACCTGTATTAAAGACACATCTATCTTTCGTGCTGTAGCTGTTCAGTTACTTCACTTAAGTTAAACTGATGTAATCTTCCACCGATATCAAAATCGTACCCTGTCAAACGCGTTAAATAGGGCAAAATCAAGGGCCAAGTTTCAGCCCAGGAAGAGGTTTCTCGGGGGGGGTTGAGGGACGTTTTCTCTCTGCTCCCTTTCTGCTGCCTCCCACTTCAATTCCAATGCTTTGCTGTGGCTTTGAAAGCAAACTCCCAGCAGCCGACGTGTGCCAGGGGTGCAGGGCAGGCGGGGATGCTGCTGCTGCCCACAGTGACAGTCACAGAGGGCTTTCCCCTGCCCACCCCTCCTGCGGCAGGCTCTGGTCCTGGCTCTCTTACCCAGGTGTCTGCTCTGCCCTGCGCACTGCAGTGGGGAAACAGAAAGCCTCCATGGCACGGGCTTTTTTAATAGTTTTTTTGAACCCTGACTTCTGACTGTTAATTGTGGTGTTAGGGGGATTGCTCTGCGTAAATCGGCCAGTGCGCTTGGCTTTACGAGCGCTTGGCATGACAGCAGGGAAGGGTATGTTCCCCCTTTACAAACCTTCTTTCAGCGGCAATGCTATTTCTTGCAATATTTATCTGATTTAGCCCCTCGCCCAGGACTTCAGACCACAAATGAGGAGGTGTTTCTGTCTGCTTCACTTCTGGATCTAGCGTGGGAATCTCTGATTTATTTACATTTCACACCTCTGCCGAAGCACAGGCTGTGAATTCACCTCCCAGCAGAACCCCGTTCCCATGCCCAATGGTTTGGAGGTTTCTTGAAGACCACCTGCCTGCAGCCCGACAGTGGGTGAGGGCAGCTGAGCTCCCGTAGCCGGAGGGCTTGGCTGGGCTGTGGACAGAGCTGCACTGGCTACAGCACCTGCCCGTGCTGGAGGATCCTGCTGCAAAGCTCGTGGGGCAGCTGTAGCTGCGTCTTCAGTGTCGGCAAGAGGTAAAGTGAGGAGGTGAGCAGGTGGATTTTGAGCTTTCCTTCATCTAGCCCTTGTGTGCATAAGGTTTAGGTCTTCTCTCCTTTCCCCTTTGCTATCAGCCTGAGGTCCTAACAGTGACTAGTTGCTGAACAAGGGATAGAGCCAGCAGAGTGCTGCCCTTTGAGCTGCTACTTATGCCTTCGTTGTGTCCCAGGAGCACTAAAAAGCAGGGATGTGCCTGGTTGAAAACCTGCCTGATGTATCCAGCACAGATCTAGGGCTGAAGCTGTGGCCAGGGTGTCTGGGCACGGACAGAGCAGAGATTTGCTCTGGTGGTATTGAGCTGGGGGAGGAAAAACGGTCCCTTCCTGCAGCCTGGCATCTTAGCACCGCTTGGGAATATTTACAGCCTCCCTTGTTGCCTGGGCAGGCACCTCTAGGGATTGCTCCTGATGTTGGAAGGGATGAAGCAGGCATGAGCAGTATGCGAGTCTCCTGTGTCATCATCTATCCCTAGCCTGAGGGCTGAGGACGACCCCTTGCTTGTTATTTGGATTTTGGTAGCACCCAGAGGGTTCTGGCAGAGCTGAGGGTGTCAGCAATGTCTGGCATGTAGGTCTGTGACAGCACCTTGCTGAAGATGGGTGACATTATTTTTTTTTCTTTAAATAACTATTCCTTTCACCTGCACTGTTTCTTCACCTTTTCCTTGTTGCTCAATGAGAAAACACCCCACCCCACATATAAAACCACCTCTTCTGCTCTTCTCGACACACTTAGGTACGTGTATGACCCACCAGGTGCCCCAGGACAAGCCTATACCTGTTCCTGTCACGGAGCCTATCCTGAGATCCTGCTGTCCTGGAGAAGACCAGCAGTACAGGGCTGTTGTCCCTCCCTCTCTCCCCTGGAAGCTGCGTGTGCTCTGGAACTGCTGCACAATGTCATAGCCAAATGCTTTGCCTTCCCTGGTGTTGAGCAGGATAAATCCTTTTTGGCCCTCTCAAATAAGCTAAGAACTAGACCGTCTCTGTGGGCTGTAGCTCTGTGGTGGCCAGCATTCCCACCCCGAGCCCGCCTGTTCCCGCTGGCAGGGAGACAGGATCCTGGGCAGATCCTTACTTTCCTTGCAGGGCTTCTGCTCTCTTCTCTCCAGCCCAACGCCTTTGTCTCCATCCTCGTGGAGCTCTTGCTCTGCGGGTCCAACCACCTCCTTGCTGTCTGGTAGCGTTTCTCATGTTTCTCATCCTTCCTGCAGGCACAGCCCCCCAGTTGTCCCTGGGTGGGAAGGGTAGTAGTCCAAGCCCTAGCAGGAGTTGCCCTTGAAACAGGGGAGGGTCTCAGCCAGGGACTGCTCTGTTTCTTTCCCATGTCCGTGTCCACATGGGACAGGAAAGCAATAGGGGGTGGGGTGGGGTGTGTATGGCACTTTTGCTCTCCCACATCTGCACCCACACGTGCTATCTCTGGCCAGAGATATCCAGCTGCTGAGGGGAGTTTGAAGACTGCATTTAGCAGGGTCTTATCCGGGACTTTCTTTCTTGCCTCTTAATTAATCAAGCAATAGTGGAGAGGCTGGCAGAGAATCTTGAACCAAATTCTGCTCAACCACATCCCTTCAGCCCCCCTGGGGCTTAGCGTGTGGGGCCATCCAGAATCCACTTGTAATTGTTCCCATTGTAGCTTCTTCCCCCCCCACCCTTCCTAGCATGTCTGAACTGGGTCCTCAGGACACGGCTCTGCTTCTGACTGTTCCCAAATAATTATCGTGTAATTCTTCTCCCAAAATAATGTAAGGTGTGGGTGAGGCGCGTTCGCTTCCAGTGATGTAGCAACACCCCTTACACAACAGAAATGCTGGGTGTTTCACCAAACTGGGGATGGGATGACGGCTGCAGGAGTGTGACTAAGGGGCGTCAGTGTGCCACAGGTGTTGCACGTTATCTCTGGGGCTGCTTTCGGGGTTTGCCTTCTTCCAGTGCATCATTATCCTGCTGCCCGCTTTCCCCTCCCAGCCCTTTCCCCTGAGCCTCTCCATCCTCCCGTGGTTGATCTGTAGCGGAGCAGCCCTCCATCCAGACCCCTGCTGTGCTCTCTGGGATTGCGGTTCCTCTCGGAGGGTCCTGCTGTGAGCTGGGCTCGCTCCTGCCCCGTCTGTGCTGAGCGAGGTGGCTTGCCGGCCTTGGGAGAGCCAAAGACAGAGCGTGCCTCTCGGCA